ATTCTGATTTTCCTCATCATCAATGATTTTTGGAAGCATAGACAGCACTTTGTTCCTGTTTAGAGGCGCTATACCGCATTTCTTAAAACCGCTGATCACATTTTCTTCAATGAATCACACAACTTTTTCAATAACGCGGAAAATTTGTCCTTGGAACAGTTGCTTCTGCTCTTCCTGGGCCCTTTTTCCACTCTTCGAGAATCTGCCGCCATGTTGATTTCAATGGGCAAAAAAGGCTACGTCTAGAGGTTGTGTGAGATGGGTGGTCATTGTCTTTACACAACTTCACAGATTCCATTGATAAGTGGGAAGACAAATTGTCCCCAATCAGAATTTTTCGACCCGTTTTGTTTTTCAGGTACGGAAGAGCAACTGTCAGTACCCAATCTTCAAAGCAAAAGGAATCGAACCAGCCAGACTTTGTTCGATTGTACCTGGCGTTTTTTGGCCCACCTTCTGTCCAGCTTTGGTACAAGTGCATAGCCTTATACACAACGTAAGGTGGTAAAATAGTGCCATCAGCAGCGGCTGCAAGCATCACAGACGTAGATGACTTTGATGAGTTTATGACTCTTTCTGGATATTTTGTCCCTCTACGTATAATGACCTTTGGCTTACCAGGGTCATCACTTAGATTCGTCTCATCATAGTTAACAATATTAGATAAAGGCACATCCTTTAATTCATTTGTCAGTTCATCAAAATAGTGGTTTGTTTCTGGTGTTACACCAGCCCTCGAGCGTTTAATATTCTGACACATTCTCACGGCGAGTTGTTCCTTATGACGTTTTATAAATGATTCCACAAAGTCATGGCCGGGGAGGTTATCTTTAAACCTCTTAACTTCTTTCCCTCTCCGGTCTAAAAAGTCTTTTACAAGGAGTCGTAGAGTTGTAGTGTCAATGGTCAATGGGATAACCCCATTTGCCACATATCTTAAGCCTATCAACAAACAGCTGTTCTTCTTCAAGAGATAATGCTGTTTGACCACCATGTTTCTTCAAATTTGGACCTCTTTTCAAGTGTTGATAAAGAACACTATAATGCAAACCATGTTTTTCAGCAGACTTTCGAAGGCTTAATCCATTCTGTATGTCAGAAGTTGCTCTTTCGATTGTTTTTGGATCGTGCTTTTTGTAGCCACCTCCAACCACGTGTTTGTACTTCCTTGGCATTTTACAGGGTTTTGAAATAAAACAGCTGTGTCAGTTAAGTGTCTAACATAAATATATAGCATACAGTATGTATTTTATACAGTATAAACGTGATTTAGAATTACTTTTTTATTGCGGGGTGTAAAGAAACACTAGAAATTATATGTTTCTATTCACCCCGTCAATTCTGAAAACCTAACCTAAAAAATTCAAATAATTATTAAAATAATATTGTTACAGTTAAAGCTTAAAGTTAGCACTCTTTTATATGAATAATTAAACTATGTTTTGTACAGCTATTTACTTTCAAGAACACTGAGTATTCCGACTTACCTGGAAAGTTCAAAGTGAATAAAAAAAAACAAGAATTGCACGGTAAAATTCAACATGAAAAACAAACAAGAACCAATGCTGCTAAATAAGCAAACCATTATTTCACTTTTAGGCTAAAATGTAGCAACCTAAAAAAATTATTAGTTGCCATTATTTACTCATAGTTATGTAGTAAATAGATTGTATATACAAAAATGAAGTTTTGTTTCTATTCACCCCGTTTTACGGTATATATATATATATATATATATATATATATATATATATATATATATATATATATATATATATATATATATGTATACATATATATTATATATATATATATATATATATACATACATACATATTATATATATATATATATATATATATATATATATATATATATATATATATATATATATATATATATATATATATATATATATATATATATATATATATATATATATACATACATACATATATACATATACATATATATTAGGATGGTTCTAAAAACAACATTTTTCGAAAATGTCTAATGGCACCCCCTAAATGTGTTCTATGTAATAAATTAATACTACATTTAAAAAGTTTAAAAAAAAATTTTTTTTAGGGGTTGCTCAAGACCTTTAAACATCAGATGGGTCCCTAATATTTTGAAAAAAAAGCATATAATGTTGGGTCTGAAATAAGGGGAAATTTTATAAAAATCCAAAAACAATAATCATTTTATATAAAGATTACTAGTTTAAATTTTATGGCTTAAAAACGATCATTTTTTAACAAAAAATAAAAAAGTACATATTTTCATAGTTTTTAAATGAACTTTTTTAATTTCTGTTTTCATAAATTGTTTTTATTATTTGAAATTTTACTTCTTTTGAGACCCAACATATGCTTTTTAAAGAATTTTTTTTTCAAAATTTTAGGGACTCGTCTGATGTTTAAGGGTCTTGATTCAAAAATTTTTTTAATGTAGTATTAATTTATTACATAGAACACATTTAGGGGTGCCATTAGACATTTTCAAAATATACTGTTTTTAGAACCAGCCTAATAATTATGTATATGTATATATATATATATATATATATATATATATATATATATATATATATATATATATATATATATATATATATATATATATATATATATATATATATATATATATATATGTATATATATATATATATGTGTGTGTGTGTGTGTGTGTGTGTGTGTGTGTGTATATATATGTGTATATATATATGTGTATATATATATATATGTGTATATATATATTTATATATATATATATATATATATATATATATATATATATATATATATATATATATATATATATATATATATATATATATATATATATATATAAATATATATATATATATGGAGGTTTCAGTGCATATATTGATTGACTATTTAAGGAGAACATGGAAGGAGTGCTGTTTTTTTTCTTTTTTTGACAAGTTTTGAAGTCGGATTTCTTCTGTATTCCAAATTTTACAATATAATGCTGTTGATAAAATTAGATAATTATATCAAAATAGATAAGTATATCAATAAGCATAATATAATAACAACTAGTACTGTGAAGGTGAAACTTTCAGGTAATTTTACAAGTAAATTTAAAAATATTATTTTGGTTATTATTACTATGTATTATGATATTTAAAATTTATTTTTTTGTCAGTAAATTAAAAATTTTCATGTAATTTTTGTTTTAAAAATTTAGCAATAAAATACAAGTGAGATTACTAGTAAATTTACATCATTAATGTAAAAAAACAATCTAGTATGAAAGAAAATATCTTTTTAAACAGCAACAGGTTTTTTTAATAAAATGCATGGTGTTAACACCTATAGTTATATTGTTATAAAGTTGTGCAAAAAGTTGGTTTTAGCAATCATTGTCATGATTAAAAATGTTGAAAAACCAAAAAAAAAGCTTTTCATTCTACTTAAGCTTTAAAAAAAAAACTTTGACGCTAACCTTGGAATTATGATTCATTGATTTATGATTCAAATTATATGAAGCTGATAGTCAGGTGACTTTTTTTCATGTTTAGATCTGTATATGAAGATGATAGTCAACTGGTTTTTCTTCAAAAGCTCGATGATCGTTCTAAGTTATTAGAGAAAGAAATTGAACGGATGTGCAGTTTTCATTATCAAGGATTTGTGGAATCTGTCAATGAACTGATAAGAGTTCGAACTGAAGCTAGTCGCCTGAAGGTTAATGTATTGTAGCTTGTTAAAATAATATTGTAAATGGTTGTTACTTATTTACATAACTTGTTTTTATATATATTGTTTAGATTTTGCTTAAAAAAGCAAATTCTGATCTACAGGAGTCTGGTACTAGTGTAAGTCTTGTATTGGAAGTTAACATAAATGCAATCTTATTTAGAACAACATAACATCTTATTTTACCATTAGAAATAATAGAAATAATAGTAATGATTTTAATGATTTTATGGTTATAGTTAACATAATGATTTCATTTTTTGTGTAAATATATATTTTTTTAAAGCTTCTTTGTAAACTAAAAGATTTAACAGAACTTCGCCTGAGAAATCGGAACATGGTTGACACTATGGAAGTTCTAAGCCTATGTATTCCAGGTATTTTATGATTGCTGTCATAGTGTGGATTTTTTGCTATACAAAGTTTTTTTGTCTTTTGTTTTTCAAGCTCCAGATGGAGTTATTATAAACTCTAGAGTTATTTTAGTTAACAAAATGGGAGAAAATACCTTATAATAGCTAATCAAAAAATGGTCATTTCAAGTTATTTTTGTTGATTTTTTCTCTTTTTATTATAATTAACTTAATTATTTATTAGTTCTGGTTGAATAGTTGAATAAAGTTAAAAGAAGCATTCTTATTCTAATGTCATAAACTTGTATTACTTAATAGCAGTTGATTCCAGCATTATATGATCAAGTATATTTATGATTTTATTGACCAGGTTGAAAAAAAAACAATTAAACTTTATGTTGTTTGTTTCTTTGTCTAATTAAACTTTTTGTTGGATCCAAAAACTGGACATGCTTTTAATGCAGATTTTTGCGTTGTGCCAGAGACTGGAATTGCTATGCCACTCTCTAATAAGGTTATCAATTGTCAATTGGTAGTAATGGCTTCTTTAAAATTATCTGCCGGTATCATATCAAGTAAATTTCTCATGTATTTTCAGCTAGAAATGCAGTAACACTCATAGTTATGTGGCATGGTACTGAGTTGTGCATGAACACATACTTTATATCATAAGGAGCCTGTTTTCAAGTACTTGCTTGTACTGGTTTTGCTTTATGGTCCCTTCCAAAATGTAGACCTACCCATACTCTTGGCTGAGATCACATACCACACCATTATGCCTAAAAGATGTTTAACTTTTTCTAAAAGGCAGTCCTGGTGAAATTTCTAATAAGGTTTGAAGGAATAATTTTTTGTCAACTAAAATTTAAAATGTTGACACTTTTAAATAGTAGGCCTGTAAAATATTACCATAAATATAAAGATATTATTTTACAGGGTTCTTATAATATAAGTCATATTTACTCAACTCCAATCTTCAATAGTCATATTCTGGTATTTTCTAGCCCATCACAGTCTCTTTTTTTTATGGCCTCAATCAAACATGGTTTTTTGATTGGACAATAAACTATTAAATTCTCTTCAACCAACCATCTCTGAACCGTCCTTTTGAAAATGTTGATTCCTTCATCATTTATCATTGTATTTAGGGGTGAGCCAAACTTTTGATTTTTTTTTTGAAGATTAATTTCTCTGATTTTACAGTCACTGTTAAGTAGTGATCTTGACACTTTATCTGACGCTGCTTCTAGAGACAAGTTGTAAAGATTTTTCTTTGAACTTTGTTCACTAATGACTTTGAAACACTTGTGATTGCTGCTATTTTTCTCTGAGAATGCGTAGAATAAAGAAGGTTTTTTTTTTCTACATTTTCTTGGAGTTAAGTCTTCAGATTTGCCCTAAAAAAAATTATAAAAGGTTAGAAATAAAAAATTGATATTAAAATCTGTATCAAAGTATTAATTAGCATTAAAATTAGCAAAACTAAATAAGAATAGTTTTTTTTTATTTTATTTAGTTTTGGAAATGTATGCAAAGCTTTATGAGCAAAAAAAAAATAAAAGGTTTTTTTTTTTACTTAGATTACATTTTGTGTTTTTAATTTTTTTTATATGTATATATTTTTTATATTTATGTATTTTTATCATTATTATTCTAGATATTACCCAGCACTAAAGACATTAGAACAGCTAGAACACACCTATCTTGCTAGAATAAAGCAGTGAGTATAATATTAAAAATATATGAAATAAATATAAATATAAAAATAAAATAAATTTTTTTTCTTTCTAATAGTTGTATGTGAACTCATCATTGTTCCCCATTTTAACCACCAAGATAAAAGTTGTGTCACTCAAACAAATTATGGTTTAATATAACACTAAGGACCATAGAAGTTGTTTCCAATTATTTTTAAAATTAAAATGACCGTGGCACATAGCTTTTTTAAATTTTTCTTGGCTACTTTAAAGGACTGAAATAGTAGTTGGAAATAGGGGCTACTCTGGTCTACATAAGAGTGGGGGCAACCAATCATCAGAGATATTTCAGGAAAAATAAACTATAGTTGGTTGCCTTTTTTAACTATGCATCAAAAGTGGGAGGAACAATAAGTTTTCCATCATTTTTGGAGCTGAAATCACAATTAAAAAAAAAATATCAGCTTTTATTACTTCATTATCTTAATTGTTTTTATTATTTTTTTTACCAAGTAATAATTGAGTCAAACAATAAATATAAAGTTCTATTTTTTCAATTGAAAAAGAAAAAAAAAAAACACACATTAGGTTATTCTACTTCCTCCGAAATGTTTAACAGCTGCCAAAAGTTTATCACTATGCTCTGAATGTCCTTCAATTCTCTTATATCTAGACCGGGTTGGTTTAAACTTGGCATGTATTGCTTCACCACATTGTTCAGCGTATCTTTCTAAACTGCATCTATGATACTTGACAAATGGAGCTACATGGCACAAAATAAAATGAATTTTCCAAGTCAAACTTTTTACCAAAGATTAAAGCTAGCTCTTGTTTTTGTCTAATTTGGAAATAGACTCTTCAAATCCAGTTTCTAAAGTGTTACCAAAGCAAGCATCTTTAACAGGTCTGAAGTTTTTAAGACACTCAACAAAGGGATTGAGATGATAATAAGTGCTTTTTATGGCAAACTCTAATTCATCAAGATTTTTAATGATAGCATTTGAGTTGTTGCCATCCCAACCTCTACTTTGGTAACCTCTTTAAAGAATATTTTTTGATTTTAACCAATCATCAAAACCAGGCCATAGATCTAATAAAAGAGTTCCTAGTGAAACAAATCCTATCATAAGGTGTCGTTCTGGTGGAGTTACATGGTACTGTATTTAAGATTTAAGATCTTCTAAGTAAATTACTCTAAGATTTATTACATTCATACAATCTTTTATAAGAGCTTTGTTAAATCCAGTTTCAGCATATTTTGAGTACCAATAATCCAAGCTTTCCAGAGATCTCAATTTTCCTGACTCTGTTGTTCACACCAAAGACATGATCTTAAACCAGCATAAGATGATAAACCAAATACTGAATTAGCACATTTTAAATCAAAGGCTATATTGAATTGAACATTCTGCAAGTTTTGTTTTTCTAGAATAAGTTGTAAATTGTAATTTGATTCTCGAACATCTTCTGTGATTCCAAGTATCTGGCATCTTTGAACTCCACTGTTTAAAAACCTTCCAGATTTTACATTATTCTCTTCAGGATCAAATATATTTACAATAACTTTTAAGTATGAACCCCTGAGTCTAAAGAAAAGCAACTGCATCTTTACCTTTTGGATTTAATAAAATAAGATCATGATAGGTTTGATAGCCAGGGCTGATTAATAAAATAAAATCATGATAAGTTTGGTAGCCAGGGCTGATTAAATTTGTTCATAGATTTTATTTGAGGAGGTTTAAAAATAATAAAATTTATTGTCATCATTATAATCATAATCTATTGTTTTAACATTCATTTCTTTGCTGTTGCATAAGTTGTAGAAGTTGTAGTTGGGTGTGTAGGTCGTAGTAGGTTGGTGTCAAATCTCAATTATTTTTATGACTTAGTATATTCCATAATATTTCATATTATATTCAAAGTGCGCATAGTTTTTACAATTTTAAGAAATTGTAAAAATAGAGTTTTCTATGTTTTATGATTAAAAGTTTTTAATTTAAATTTGTAGATATTTTAGATTTATGCAAAGGTAAGGGATTTGCATAGTATGCAAAAAAAAATTATAATAAAATTTATAATTTTTGTATAAGTTCACTAAAATCAAACATTAAATTTTGTGTTTCAAAATAAACACAAAAAATACTGGTGTGTTTACATAGTAAATTTATATTCTAAGATTAATTAATAAAAAGTTAATGCCGTAATTAAATGAATAAATAAATTTAAGTTCTAATCAATATAGAAATAAACAGCTAATTTTTTGTTTCATAACTTACAAAAAGCAAGTTAACCAATTTTATTAATGGGGCAATTGAACACTTTGTTGGCTTAAATTTACTAAATATTTTAACTCTCACTATAATATTTTTTAATATCTATTTATTGATACTTTTAATTTCTTGAAATTAATAATTGGGCTATATGTAAATAATCTATGAATCATAAAAAAAATTTCAAAGTTTCTCTTACTCCGTGTAATTAAACCAATATAGTTGAGGAATTAATGATGTTGTTGGAAAAAGTGGTAAAAATTAAAACGCATGATATGCAATATTTTTGTCTGGTTTGGCTACAATCCACTACTCCAAGATGTCTCTCAAATGGCATCAACAAAATGGCATTGTATTTGTATCCAAGGAAAAAAACCCTCCAAATTTTTCTGAGCAGCAAGTTATTGAAAGATATTGGTCAAATGTAAAAGGAATGTTATTTAGAAGGAAGAAATTAAAGACATTAGCTTCAAATAAAATATCTGTTTATTGATACTTTTAATTTCTTGAAATTAGTAATTGGGCTATATGTAAATAATCTATGAATCATAAAAAAATTTTCAAAGTTTGATTTGATTTGTAATTAAATGTTTGATACTCCGTGTAATATAGTTGAGGAATTAATGATGTTGTTGGAAAAAGTGGTACAAAGTATAATATGTCACAACTATATCATGTCTCGGAAAACTGCATCAACAAGTTCCTTGTATCTTGATAACATAACACCAATTAGTGGCACATGCTTTTTTTTTAAGTATAGTTAAATATTTGTTCTAGCAAAATATGGCCACAGACAACCTAGTTACTAGTTGGATGTGATGATACTAACACAAACAGTTGAGTTTGAAGAATTATTAGGCTACTTTAACAAAAATTGGAAAAAACCATTACAATAGCGGGTGTGTATGATTCATGGTAATGAACTATTTCATTTATTACAAAATTATTAAAAATCATTAAGGTTTTAATTTTGTATACAGCAAACATAAAACCTTCAGAAAAGTCATCTATTCCACATTATTAAGTGACAAATCTGAATTTTGTATATGATGTGTACAAGTTAATTGGTTACTAAGCAACAAGTATTATGAAGCTGCTATTGTAACTGACATTACAAATGAGCAACTGAAAGTATTCCTGGCATCTCATACTCCACCTATGTCTGATTTTTTAAAGTTTCCATGTCCTACTCAGTCAATAGAAAGATGTGTGATATTAGTAACTGATCAGCATCAGCAGGTTGAAAATTAAAACTTTTATTAAATCGAGGTTGGAAGTGCGTTCAATTATGCAAATATTTAACACTAAAGCAGAATCGCTTGTTAAAAAACTTTTTGTGTGTGGCAAAATTTTTCAGCAAAAAGTAGACATTTTTATGATAATGTTAGCCATTTTGGATTTTGGTAAACAGTTAGTATTGAAGTATATATTCTATACTAATTTATTACTAAATTAATTTTAATAGTGACATATTAAAAAGTTTTAGCATACTTTTACAGTTAATACATGTAATAAATTTTCTTTTTAAAAATGCTAATAAAATATCATACTATGATTGATATTGGTTAAACACAATTCAGCACCCTTCAAACATTAATTACTCAACATTTTAAACCTTCATTTTAATTTTTCAACTTTAAACATTAATGACTCAACATTTTAAACCTTCATTTTAATTTTTTAACTTTAAACATTAATTGCTCAAAAACTACTTAACAATAATATACAACTATAATCGTTTGAAAATAATGGTTTGACTGTAATCGTTTGAAAATAATGGTTAAGAAAATGATGAAACCTAGTGCAAGGACTTTTCACAATTGCTAGACCAGTAGTGTTTTTGTTAGTTGATGAGTAATAACAAGTTGTTAGTTTTTACTAAAAAAATTTAAGTAAATTTAATTGTTTAATTTTGCCTCCAAGTTTCATATATGGCAAACAATCATATATAACATATATGGCAAACACATATTTGTATATAAATGATGCTTAAAGAAACACTTTTTGAAATATATTAAAACGCATGATATGCAATATTTTTGTCTGGTTTGGCTACAATCCACTACTCCAAGATGTCTCTTAAATGGCATCAACAAAATGGCATTGTATTTGTATCTAAGGAAAAAAACTCTCCAAATTTTTCTGAGCAGCAAGTTATTCAAAGGTATTGGTCAAATGTAAAAGGAATGTTATTTAGAAGCAAGAAATTAAAGACATTAGCTTCAAATAAAATTTTAAGGAAAAAGCAATATTTAGCAGATGATGTCAAGTACTTGCAAAAGTATTCAGTTTCCATCTAATCATCCAATAAAACATAAGATTTATCAATGTCATTGATATTTTTAAAAATATCTTAATATTATATATTTAATTAAAGAGCATATAAAAAACAAATAACTATAAATATGTGATATTTGTATAAAATAATATATAATGAAAGTAGTATGTAATAATTTTATAGTATAAGAAAAATTTGTCGGGAGAAAAGTTTTGCTCCTGTAAAAACTACAATTCTCTTTAAGAATTAATTTAATTACAATTGTATTGCAAGAGTATGCTACATAAAAAAATACAGAGGGTAACAAAAAAATACAGAGGGGTAACAATATATAAAAATAATAGATCTTCTTATAAGCTCTGTATATAAATTTCTTTAGTTTTCGATTTGCTGAACTGATGATAAGCAAGTTACCATTTTTTCGAGATAGTATCAAAGATGCTGCAAAAGAAGACTTGATGGTAAAATATTTGTGTACATTTCACTGCTCTTTTTTAAAGTTTTTAGTTAAAGTTATTTTTACTTCAGATCAGTCCAGTAGGTTGACATTAGAGAAACACATTAAAAACCACCTTGTTTTTTATTTATTGATTTTTTTTTCGATAATTGTAAAACATTTATAAAATAAAGAGTTTCTTTATCTTACAAACATTAAAATATATTTTAATAAAATTTAACTTTAAAGTATATTTTAATGAAATTTAATTATAAAATATATTTTAATAAAATTTAATATTAAAATATATTTTAATGAAATTTAAAAAAAACTCTGATCTTGTTTAAGGTTTGTTTTCGAAAAATAAAGAAATTTGTTTTTGTAAATTAATTTTTTATTAACCAAGGGGTTAATAAAAAGGAGGTTTTTTTACTGGCATTTTTGTTCCAGTTTTTAAATCATGTAATGTGTATCTCAAATCAAAGTTTTTTTAGTTTCTATCCTAGGTGTAAAAGATTTGCATAAATATATAAATTCAGAAAATTTCGATAAGTTTCATCAATTTTCTAATTTTTAAATAAAGAATTTGAAAAGAACAATTTTAAAATGAAATATAAGGCTATAAGTAAATATGTTGTAGAGTCAAATAAAAGCTTGCAACAGGAGGAAACACTCTTTCAATTAAAGTGTATAAACCAGGGCTGTGGAGTCGGAGTTAGAGTTGCAGAGTTGCGACAATTTTACCGGAGTCGGAGTTGGAGTATTTACCGGGCAATATTTTTTTAAAGAAATCAAAGAATTAAAAAAAAATTTTGCTTTGGAGTTGGAGTCGGAGTTGGAGTCGGAGTCGGAGTTGTACTCAAAAAATTTCAACAACTGGAGTCGGAGTCATTACTTTTTTTTACAACTCCACACCCCTGGTATAAACACTGATCACTGATCATAAGACATTTAACAAGAGAAACTCTTTTGAATTTGTAGATAAATTTTAACCTTTTAATTTAATCAATTTAGTGCAGTGTTAGTAATTATGAAGATATGAAAAGATGTTGCAAAATCAGAAATACAGTTGTTGATGTTGATGACTGTAACACCAGATGTTGGTGTTGCAGTCATTCAATTAAAGAGTTTTTTCAATTAATTAAAAATTCAATTAAATTTTTTTTGAAAAAGGATTATTTTGGTACAGACCTATCTATGTTATATAGTAATAAAGTGTGTTCTTTTAAGAAATTGAATCTTTTTAAATCAAAAAGACCAAATTTCCTGAAGTAACACACTATATTATATATTTATCCAAAGAACTATAAGTACACTGTGATCAACATAAGTACACTGTGATCAACATAAGTACACTGTGATCAACATAAGTACACTGTGAGCAACAAAATGGTCATACTAGTCATAATTCGAAAGAGAAAAATCTCAAAGAATTGAAAAAAGAGGAGTCATCACAATCTGAAAATGCTTTTCCAATCCAAAGTACATAAAGGTTTTTTACTAAAGTATAGGCTTATAAAAGCAAAGTAATTATAAAGCAATTGTGATGGGACAATTGATAAGAAAGAAGTTCCATAAACTTTTAGATCATTAGAGATGAGTTTGAAATATGCAAATTAAATAAAAAGTGTCATGTAGATTTTTTTAAACAAATTTTTGGGAAATTAAAACAAAAGATTTTTGTAGTATTATATCATACAGATACAGTGTTGTAAAATGTTCCATGCTTGTTAAATAAGAAATTGTAGAAATTATCAACTCCATTTTACCACCTGAAAACCATCTAAATGAACAAAATTTAAGGAAAGTTGTTAATACAAGTCTTAAAGTACTTTCTCAAAAATAAACTGTATAAACAAGTAGTTTTGTGACTTGGTAATAACATTTTGGCTACAGTTATAAGACCATTTTCATCTCCATGTGATTTAACTGTCTATTTGATGACATGTTTTTTATGTTTCATGTGGTTGAGTAGTCTTTTGAGATCAGCCTTGAACTACTGGCAATATAGTAGTTTGCTTTTGCTTCTTGTACAATATTACTCACATTTTTGAATGATAGTTTATACTCCTTCTTAATTGCTTTGTGAGTCCAAATCCAAGCAACTTAGTATTTTTCCCAAAGGCAAGTTTGCCCAAAATAATCAGCTGGAGTTTTGATGATGTCTGTCAGGACTTTTAAAACCAAAGTAGTGTTTGATAAGGCAGTGTGCCTTATCAAACACTACTTTTTACATTGACCTTGTTCAATGCACATCAGGTTTCAGTTCAAGGATTCAATTGAGTTCGTCAGTTATGATTAAGTCTAACGTGTTTGTGGGCGGATCATTTCTTGTCTTTCAAAATGTAGGAAAGGTGATAACTTGAGTTAAATGCGTTTCCTTTAAGTAGAAGCGAAATTTCTCGTCTCTTTAATGATGGTTCTTGATAACAGTAGCTGTTGCAAATCCTCCACCTAAGTCTATTTCTTCCTATTTAGAATGGCTCCAATTGAAATCTCCATAAATTAACATTGAAACACTTTCAAGTGAGGAAAGATTTTGTTTTGCAGCTGTGATGGATTTGATTATTTTGTTTAATGATGTGTCATTGTGGTTGTGAGGTCTGTGCATGCAGCCTAGAAGAATCGACTCGAAACTGCATTTATGATACACCATGCTTGCTCAATTTTTTGAAGTTAAGTTGTTTGATATTAGTTTCAGCTGTTGCAATACCATTTTTATAGCTATACCTCCACCTTTTTGGTCTATATGATTGCAACCAGAGTTGTGTATCTAATGTCAGTGAACCTAGTTTCTGCATAAAATTGTAAATCAGGAGCTTCTTTTTTATTGCTGTTAAAAAAATACGTTAGAATCTTAGTTGTTTAAGTTTGGTATTTTTGTTATCGCGGTTTTGAAGTGAACATGCTGACTGTCTGCGGGAAGTGATTTTTTTAAATTGATGGAGGGGCTGATGAGTTTTACGCATTTGATACTTTGACCTTAATTTACTTAATTGACCTGACCCCCAATTTAAAACTTTGGAATGCATTGAAACTTTGAGAAATTGTTATTTATTATTAAATGGGTTTCTAAATTTAGTTTGTTTAAGTGGAGGATGGTTTTAATCGTTTTTTTAATTTTTTTCTGATCGATCTGACCCCCAACCTGTGCCAAAAATATATAACCTTTGTAACAAAGTGTTTTTTTTTAATAATTTTAAATTTTGTGTCTTAAGTTAACTTATATTTACTTTCACTAAGTTACATTTACATTTACTAAATTATTGTTTATGTCTATTTTGTGTGTGTCAGTTGAAGTGAAATGGTTGCATTCAAATAGGTTTCTGTCAATGTTGTAACTTTTTTGTAATTATATTAATTTTTTTTTAATTGTTTAATTGGTCATACTTTGCAAAGTAGTTAAAATGTTTGAGTTACAGTTTTTAACTTAGCAAATAAGTTAAAAAGTTTGGACTACAGGAACAAAAAAAACCCCTCAAAAAGTGTCTCAGTCACCCTCTTTATTTTTGAGGGAAATCAGTCAGATTTTTTACTTTAATTAAAATTATAATTTTATAATTTTAGAAAAAGAGTCAACAAATAAAAAAATATTTTTAATTTGTTTTTTAACAGTTTTTATTTTATATAGTTTAAAAAAACATAAAAATACATAAAAAATTTTAAATTACTCTCAAAAGTAGTTAAAGAAATTTTTTTTTACTTCGTTCTTAACAGTTTCTATCTCATGCAGTTTAAAAAAACAAAAATACTTATTAAATTATTTCCATTATTTTAATACTTTTTAATGATGTCATTATTTTGTTGCAATTATTTTTCAGCTGTTCTTTATACTTTTTAGAGTATTTTATCATTTGATTTTTTTTTGTTGATTCATTATTTTTTGAAAATAATATTATTTTTCTAGTTGTTTCTAGAAAGTGTAAGATCAAAGTCAGAAAAACTAGGAGAGATTGTAATGAAGCAGGTAAGCTTTTCAAAGTATTTTTAAGGTGTACTTTCTAATTTTCAGAAAAAAAATATATAAAATATAAAAAATTTATGACAAATTAAGTTTTTTTTATACATAAGTACTACTGATTACTTCTGAAATTATGAGCTATCAATATATATATATATATATATATATATATATATATATATATATATATATATATATATATATATATATATATACATATATATATATATATATATATATATATATATATATATATATATATATATATATATATATATATATATATATATATATATATATATATATATATATATATATATATATATATATGTATATGTATATATATATATATATATATATATATATATATATATATATATATATATATATATATATATATATATATATATATATATATATATATATATATATAAAGTCTTGCATTCGCCAATTTAGTTATGAAAAGTCTTTTATATATCCAGTCTTTAGTTATGAAAAGTCTTTTATATATCCAGTACTGAAATACAGGTATTGAGCCCACCCAATACCGGTGTTTTGATATTTGACAATGGCTGGAAATATTGGTATTCTATAATACATTGTCAAGGTCACATAGAGAGCTCTTTCTTTTGACTTCAGCTTTATTCCATAAAATTAATGTAGTTGAAGTAAAATTGAATTTTTAGGTGCATCAACAATATAGTTTGAGTTTGCTGCATGGTGTGGATGAAGGTGTTGCTGAAGAAAAAAATGAGGTGATTACTTTTTAAAAATTTAATCAAAAAAAAAAAAAAAAGAAAGCAAAAAATGTAAACAATAAACTTTGAAATTTTAGATTCTTCAAATCTGTTGCACTGATCTAATCGACTTTTCACCTGTATATAGATGTATGCATATTTTTAGTGCATTGGTAATTTATCTTTATTTTTGTTTGACCATCATTTATCTCAAGATTGATTATAAAAATAATTTTTAATTTTAATTGAGATTGTTTTATATATTAGTTTATATAAAAATTGATAATTCTGTTTGAGAAAATATTTTTTAGCCAACTAAATATCTTGTTAAACTTTTTTCTCTACAGAATCAGCGAGACATATTTGAACACTATTATAGAAAAGAACGTATGCAGCAGGCACGCTTGGCTTTTGATTGGCAAAGAGCAACTGTTTCTATTGTAGGTGTTTTAAAATTATAGACTTTTGATATACTTATTATCACCTGCTACTACTGTTGGCTAAAGATACTATTATTAATGATGGTTATATATTACTATTATTACTGATGAATTTTGCTAATGATGATATTATTATTAACCATCTGTAGTGGTAAATGATAAAATATGTATTCCCATCATACACAATGAAGTCATCATTAAAAACAATGAATTCATTATTACACAATAATGTTATCATTACACAATCATATAGTTTTATATATTTGTTTTAAATACATACAATATATATATATATATATATATATATATATATATATATATATATATATATATATATATATATATATATATATATATATATATATATATATATATTAAAATAATTATTTATTAGAAACTAATTAGTCATTGCAGTCTCTTAATCTTTAATGGAGTTCGCATTTCAGGAAACCTAAAGTAGGAAGAACAGTTATAGAACAATTACAAGATCACTAATATTTTATATATTTTGTGTGTGTGTTATATATATTATATATTATATTATGTATATTTTTGTGTGCGTGTGTTATAATAAAAATACTCAATCCTGCTCTACAAAATAATTGCCAAGAAAGCATCCCATTGTAAAATGCTGCTTCAACTCTTTGATAATGTTATATTTGTATAAAAAAATTACATTATGAAACCTGTCTGAACTACAATTGCGTGGAATCATGGACATTACACCTAAAATATATGTATATATATGCACATAGTTTTCTATACTTTTTTATTATTTGGTTTTATAGATATTGAAAACTAGAAAAAAGATTAGTGAGTTTTGGTTAGAGGTAACTTCATCTTAAAAATATTTTTAGAAAGTTTAGCTTTAGCCACTATGTAAATGTAATTGTTATTTAGCATAAGTTTTTTGCATGCATTAAAATTTTTTGTTCATTTTTTTACAATAGTTTTTATTCCTCAGAATTTCCACAACATATTTTACATAATTTACCTAACTCACAACATACTTTGGATGACTTATCTGCTTCACAACAAATTTTGAATATTTTATAAATACATTTTATAATACATTCATTATACATTTGTCTTTTTACATATTTTACAACATATTTTGTAGTTACTAAGAATTTGGACTGACTTTCAACTGCAATTAAACTACACATGTGTGGAATTATAGACATTACATTTAAAATATGTATATATATATGCACATAATTTTTTATATTTTTTTATTAGTTAGTTTCATAGATATTGAAAACTAAAAAAGAGATTAGTAAGTTTTGGGTAGGAGAAACTTCCTCTTAAAAAATATTTTAGTAAGTGAGATTTATTATTTACTTAAAATTCATATATTTGCTTTTATTTCTTCTTGCTTCAACTCCATTTTTTCTTAATTTTTAATAATCATATAAATTCAAGCAAGTTAAATTTAAAAAAAAGATATAAACATTAAAATGTCAGTTTAAATTTTTAGTAACCACCCAATATATTTTTAGTAACTACCCAATATATTTTTAGTAACTACCCAATATATTTTTAGTAACCACCCAATATATTTTTAGTAACCACACAATTTATTTATAGTAACCACACAATATATTTTTAGTAACTACTCAATATATTGATTAAACTTTATATATTTTATTGATGAAATTTCAATTTAAACTTTCAAGTTTAAATTGAAGTTGCACATTTTTCAAACTTATTCATTTGAAATTTGTTTTTGTATAGCATGAATCTTTTCATATTTTTCAAACTTATTTCTACCAAATTGTTGGGTAAGTAATAACAGTTTATATTATTAGCCATCTTTATATTATATTGTTATTCTTGCCTGTTTAGATTTTTTAAATTCAGATTTAGGCACATATATATATATATATATATATATATATATATATATATATATATATATATATATATATATATATATATATATATATATATATATATATATATATATATATATGCAGTCTTTCACAGGAAGACGTGTGATCTCATGTTTTTATATGACCAGGCAAATTATATTTTGCTTTGACGATTTGACCGCAGCTATTTCAAGAAACATTTTAAAAACGCGCTGTTTTAAATGAAAAATATTCTGAATTATACCTTAAGTGAAATAAATTATGTCAAAACTTTTAACAAATGTTTTTATATTTGTGAAATGATTTTGAATAAAATTACAACTTATATTTTATATTATCGAAGCGCTTTTTAATTAAGCAACAAAACATTTCTAATGAATTTTTATATTAAGTATCAATAAACATTTTTTTTTTTTTTTACTTATATATAATTATGTATTTTTTTGATAAATATTTATCTTTTGAAACATACAAGTACAAGTAGAATGGTTTTTTAATTTGTAAATTAAATAGACTAAGCATTTTATTTTGATGAATTATATATATATATATATATATATATATATATATATATATATATATATATATATATATATATATATATATATATATATTATATATATACACACACATACATATATATATATATATATATATATATATATATATATATATATATATATATATATATATACACACACATACATATTTATGTGTGTGTTTTTGAGTTGAGTTGGTTTTTAAGTATTTTTTTTAATTTTATCTTTTTTCTATTTTTTTTTAGTTAAGATTTTTTTTTCTTTTTTAAAGTTTTTTTTTCAGATAAGTTTAAATAAGTTTTTGTATCGCATTTTAAAAGTTCGAAAATATGTCAAAAGCTGCGGTCAAATCATCAAGTCATATAAAAATGTGGAATCGTCTTCCTGTGAAAGACTGATATGTATATACATACATATATATATATATATATATATATATATATATATATATATATATATATATATATATATATATATATATATATATATATATATATATATATATATATATATATATATTCAAACTTTTTCTATGATTACTTTTATAAACACTTTTGGTGAAAACCTCGCAAAAAAAAAAGTTACATAACACAACTCAAATTTTATAGTCTAATAAAAAGTACTGGTAATGAATAATATTTTTATAAGTTTCTATGAGCATTAAAAAAATTATGTTCAAGTTTTTATAAAATAAATTTAAAGAAATTCATTATATTTCTAAATAAAATAATCTTATTTAGAAATATTTATATAAATATCTAGCCGCTTTTATTTTAATTATTTTATTTAGAATTTAAATAAAACAATTATTTTGCCGATTTTTAATGTAATTATTTTATTTAGAGTTTATAAATGTTTATTATTTGGTTATTAAAGATTATCTGAAGTCAGATCATAAGTAAAACAATATCAAGGCAAAACAGTCCACAGCAAATAGTGAACTTTTTTGTCAGTGTAGCAAAAAAGGTTAAGCCGAGACGCAAATTATGTGATCACGAATTGTGAAATCTGGAAGTGTTTTTGGTATTCAAATTCTCAGTTAAAATAATGAGTTTACAACTGTAAAAATATTAACAAAACTTACATATTTTAGATTATTGTTTGTATGTACACCGATTAGTACAAGCATTAAAAATAAATTAAAAAAATTGCAATAAATAAAAAGAAATTACTATAGGTCCTAAAAATATGCAGGTAATTTTAAAATCAACCAATAAAAAATTATATCAAAGTGATAATAAGAATAAAGAAAAATAGATATTTTTTAAAATATGCTATCAGAATTTTTTAACTATAAGTGGTTTAAATTAGTTTTTTTATGTTTTTAAACTCTTTTTTAATTTTATATAAATACCTGCATAATAATGTGCATTTAATTGATATTTTATATTTGTTATATTTGATTTATCAAAATATATTGAGATTTAAATAAGATATAAAAGCAATTGCAGTTTCTTTTGATTAAAATATTTGATCACCATTAAATTCTTTTAGACTTTGTGATTTGTCGTTGTGCTATTTTATTGTTACATTGTAATGTATATTTTTTGTAGTTTTTTTGATTATGTATTGATTAAAAACTAATGAGTTTGTTATAAAAAGCAGAGTTTACATTTAAAAAACTAAAGTATTAAAAGACAAGAAACATTTTTAAATATCGCAATTAATATTTCATATTTTGAATTATGTAAAA